GACGCTCTTCCGATCTCCCCAAAACCCCAAAACCCCAAGATATAGGCAGTTTTAGAATTGGAGAAATTTGTATAGAATTATACAGAACATATTTAATTTAATAAAATCAAAGATAGAGAATACTATTAATTTTTTCAAACTTTAATTAATGGAAAAATAAGGAAGAAAGTACCGAAATTCAATTAAAAAAAGTCTTACGTGTTTGCTGACTTCAAGTGCTATTATTGGAATCACACTTGTCATATCTGTTTGCATGATACTTTATGTCTACTTCTTCAGCATATCAAAGGATGGAGTTGTGGATAATCTTCTTGAGCTACAAAGGGAACACATGATTCCACTAGTTTAGAATAAAGCTGTTTAGATCTCAGCTAGTTTACAAAGCAACATCAATAGTCTCTTAATGATAATCTATGATATTTAAGATATAGGTTCTGGCAAGGTCACGTAATTAGGGGCAGATTAGTAGAGAAAGTGGTACTGGAATGAAAAAGTAGTAAATAATAACTTTAGTGGATTTAAGAAATATATGAAGAAAAAGCATGATGGTATATGGATTAGTCAAAGTAATTCTACTTGGTACAGCTTAACTTAGTCCACTAGATTTTAAGACTTAACATCTACTGAGAAATATGCTCTTTCAGTAGGCTCAACTATTGATACATTAGTTCAGCCTACTTATGATTTGAATCCGAATGCGTTTAGTATAATTTACACAACTTTTGGAACAGGCTAGAGCTATACATACCCTTACTAGTCTATATTTGATGAACCATAACTCTAAACTAGAAGACCATCTTAGGAAGATTTTCAATCAAATATCAATCAATTAGAATAATTGAGTTACATCAACAAATAAACACTATCTCAAATTTAAGATTAAATTAGGTAGAAATTAATAAAGCTCTAAGGGACGTCAAAAGTTCATCCTTTACTAAAAGCAGAGTTTGACTGCTCTTCAGAAAATCCTGTTGCCTCAAAAGATCCCAGATGTGGACCATGGTATCTAGATGCTTATGGTATGAAAAATAGAACAGTCTTTAGTGCTCCATATGTTGAACCATTGTTTCAAACCATTTTACTTACACTTTCCAGGTATTTTTATTCAAATGATTAGCTAGAGGGCGTCGTTGCAATGGATTTAGATATGAATTGGTCTTATTACAGAAATAT